AGTTTGATAATAAATATTATAAAAGAGGTGAACTCCGTTTTTATCGTCTGTTTAAAAATAAATTTTATTATTAAGTAGGGCCACACATATAAAATCTATATACCCTACTGTATATATAATACGTGAAGCCAGTGGCGGTCTCAGGGGGGAGGGATGGGAGGGATATATCCCCATCCCCGAACCCCCCACCCCGAAATAGTTTATATTTTATTAGCTAACATACCTACCTTGAGCATATTTTAGAGCTCAAATACCGGTACGTATAAAATTATGTTTTTAGGGATTTTCCATACTCCCAGACCCCCGGGAGGTCACCCAAATGAAATTCTGGGACCGCCACTGCGTGAAGCCGTTTTTTTAGAACAATACTCTTCCCTTAGCTGTGGACCAATTTCAACGTTGTCAAAAGACCCTTCTTAATTTGTAGTTTTGCTTGTAGGTTTACTTTTCCCCATAAGAATTAGACAGAACAAATTTTAAAATAAAAAACAGAGCTGTTAATAAAAAGAAATTCAGTAGGCCTAGCTTTTAGGAGAGCAAGTAAAATTGATGTTTGTAATATTCACGAGGTTAGACCTATAAACAAATATTTATTCAGTTTTTTTGGAAGAACAGAAAATGCCTCGAGTTCAAAGAAGAAATATTGAAAACAGGAGGAGAAAATTTTAGAGATCGTAGGCCTATGCATGAGGAGAGTAGAAGAGATGTCTAGTCTAACAGTAATAGTACGGTGCAATTAGACCTAAACTGGGACATCCAAAAAAAGTTTCAAACCAGCGCTAAATTGTTGAATACAATTCCCTCAATTTGTAAAAAAAAGTTATTATACTGATTTGGGTGTCGGGGTTGGGGGGAGGGGGTTAAAATGGGTTGAAAATATGACTTTTTTTACTTTTTCGCAAATACCTCAAAAACCATGCGTTTTTTTTTTTTCAAAATATAATGAATTACAAAAATAATCTACATTAAAATTTCAAACAAAATAATACCGTACAATATCTGTCTACTATGAACGGTTCAGTAGATATTGGGGGGTAAATGTGATTTTTTCTTAAAATTCTAAAAAAAGTAGTTTTTTAAATGGAGAAAACCCATGGACACACATAAAAAGTTTCTAATGAGTGCCAAATTGTTCAATAGACCTCCCTTAATAGCCTATGTGTAAAAAAAGTTACAATGATTTGAGTGTCAGATTTGGGAAGGAGGGTTTAAAAAGAAAAGGGAGGGGAATGGGACTTTTTTTACTAGGCTATTTTACAAATATCTTGAAAACGGTGCATTTTTATTGATATATTAAGAATTTAAATAATTTACCTACATTAAATTTTGAACAAGATGATACCAAACAATTCCTATCTAAACGGTTTAGGAAATATTGAGGGGTAAATATGTGATTTTTTCTGACGATTTAAAAAAAGTGGCTTTTTAAATAGAGGAAACCTACGGACACCAATAAAAAAAGTTTGTAATGGGTGCCAAATCGTTGGGCAATCCTCCCGTGTAAAAAAGTTAAACACAAATTTGCGTGCCGTTTTTGGGTAGGAGGGGGTGAAAACAGGGTGGAGAATTTTATTCATCAGTAGCCTACCTAATTTTAGAAATTTTGTTAAGTAGGCTAACACTTTTTATTTTCCTTTTTAAGACAAATATACCGGTAATGACAATTTAACTAAATATGACTAAGGCCCTACCTACCACAAAAGACAAACCTACCTATACGTGAAAACGTAAAAGTATACGCGTCCGGTAGGTAACCAGATGGATTAGGCGTCCGGCAGTGACGTCACTGGGTTGTGGGGGCCCGGAACACCGTTCACAACGATACGATGTACAGCCATCAGTGTTCGTGGTGTAATGGATAGAGTACTCAGCTGTTGTACAAGAGGTAGGCCTTATCTAGATCGAACCCCATCGGTGACACTAACTTTTTGTTAAAGAATTTGCTTAGAATAGGCCTACCATTTCTTCTTAACTGTAAATCTTTTGTTAGAATTTGACGCATTTAACTTACTTATAGCCTAATTGTATTTTATGGACAGAATTTAACCTTCATTAGATTTTTTCATCATCAGCTAGAGGGGTAGTTTGGTTAGCCTAGTTAACTTAGGTTCAAGGTTAAATGAGAGAAACTGCCGGACGCCTAATCCACGTTCGGTTACCGGACACGCATCCTCTGCCTAATTAGATATAGAAAATTCATTATTATTTCTTCCAGTTTTATTCACTTAACTTAACCCTAGATCTGGCGGTCATTTTATTCACCAGTGGCGGGTATATTTTGGCACTTTTTTAGTGGTATCATATATTTTGCCACAGAACATTTATTTGTGAATATAAGTACACACATACATATTTTCTATTTCAGTAATGAATTTAGAATGTAATAATATAAAAATATTCTTTTCCTAGCAATGCGTTTAGGCGTAGTAGCAAAAGGTTTGCAAATTTTTGGATTATGCAAATTAGAAATTTCAAAAGCAACACACAAGAAAACCACAAAATAATTTTTTTACACATTTTATCTAAATGTAAAGGTTGTGTGAAATATGATTCCCTACGTAGAAATATCAATGTTTTTTTTAAATACTCATAAAAATAAAATTATAAAAAAAAAAATTCTACATACATATGTTCTTTTTTGAAAAACTACCAAATTCTTTTTGTCACGTAGGAAATAATAGGGTAATTATTTACCCTATTTACACTGGGATTTGATGTAATTTTGATATGTATACTTACAGTATTTTTAACGCAGAATCCAAAAATGCAATCAGTTTTGGTCGGAGAGATTCCTAAGTGGCCGTACAGTTATATAATTAATATTAAGCTTCGGTTTTGTTGATATATTACCATATTTGTGGTATGGACGAGTCCAAGTTCTAGTGCCGACTATCACTAAAAGGGGTGGAAGGTTTGTGGAGTGGAAACAGCTGTCAGTTGTGTACATTCTATACTAAACAGACAAAACCACACATGACGCCATGAGAGCAAAATCAGAGTTACAATATGCATTAACTAGATTTTAAAAAGAAAATGGACTTTGGTGATGTTTATAAAATACAATAAATCAACTACCATACATAAACTATTAATCACATGAACATAAATTATAAAACAAAATAGAATTTATTCACGTAAAATATCAGTAATAGAAGCTAGGCCACTGCCGACATGATCATCGTCCTCATTCCAATCCTCAACCATTGACTAAGGCCTCAACGTCTGGTAATGAACGTGCCATAGTGCATAATCCCATAGTACATAATCCCATGTGTCTAAAAGTGAAAACGTGCCACAGTGCATAATTTAATGTATCAGCAACTAATAAATGATGTTACATTTAATCTAATCTAATCTAATCTAACCCAACCCAACCTTAATATTAATGTATAAATCGCAGTTTATGTCAGAAAAGGCATGTGAGGAAGATAGGTCGGACTTTATGCGGATTCGTGACTATATTAAGTCCTTTGAAGTGAGGTTAGATTAGGTAAGTTGGTTAGGTTATAATGAACCGACTCGTTAATTTATGCAACTTCCAGACTGTTTTTGCACTATTTAATTGTGCAAAAACAGTCTGGAAGTTGCATAAATTAATGAGTCGGTTCATTATAACCTAACCTTTACCTTCCTAATCTAACCTCACTTCAAAACACTTAATACAGTCACGAATCCGCATAAAACCTGACCTACCTTCCTCACATGCCTAAATAAGAACTGATCATTTCGTTTCTAAACGAATTGATTTTATTTCATTCCACATTAGATTAAGTATTTTTAAACAGTTGTTTGCTCTTCTCACTCAGTCCTCACTCCTCACTCTTCACTCAGTATGGACCCGTCCAGACCACACCATATTACCATTACCTTCAGTACCGCTCAATTATCCTTGTTAGATTTGTAATCCTAACCTTCGTTTTACGGCCGCTACCGCCACTTAGGAATCTCTCCGACCAAAACTGATTGCATTTTTGGATTCAGCGTTAAAAATACTGTAAGTAGACATATACAAATTACATCATATCCCAGTGTAAATACGGTAAATATTTGCCAATAATAGAATGCTTCAACAAAAAATGAAATGATACTGTGCAATAGGTAATAAAAAGATCTTTCTGAAAATATATAGTTATATTTAAAGCTGTTTTCATATTTTACCCGACCCATGTCATCTTGGTCTATAATCGACCAGCGCCACTGAGAACTCACGTTTTAGTGGTCAAAAATCGACCAGCGCCAGATAGAGGGTTAAGTTAAATATCTACGAAAACACTTACTTATGTTAAGGTTAAAAAAGAAAAAAGCTTTGATAAAATGTTTTGTTGTTATTTTAATTTAAGTTAGGGATTCGCTGAAGTAAGTTAAGTTTATTTCAATACCGTATTTCGCAGGTTCACTGCCAAACTGTACCCAAATTAGGCCTACTAGTGCAACGTGCGTCTAATGTGATCTTAGCTTTAAGTGTAAATAACTTAAGCTAAGGTCAAGAATTTATTAACTTCGAACTTGAGAGCTCACGAAAATTAAAGTGAATAACTTACTTACACCAAGGTCCCTCTCATTGACTGACAAGAAATAGGCTAATTTAAGACGTGAAAAAGCAGGCCTGGTGTTCGTGAAAAGGCAGGCCTGGTGTTCGTGAAATGGCAGGCCTGGTGTTCGTGAAAAGACTTAGGCTAAGTTAGGCCTACCTAACATAACTAACCCAGACTTCAGGTTAGGCCTAAAATATTTCAAGAAATCACAAATCAGATTAAAATGGTGGTTTCATACTATAGGCCTATACTACCACAACTGGTGATTTAAAAAGTTTAACAGCTAAACCTTAAGATTCCCTAAGTCTATTCTGTTTTATTTACCAAGGTCTCCATCGACTTACAAAGTTTTGATGTTTAGGAGCAACAGGCCAATAGGCCCCTAGCCTAAAAATATTTAGCAGAATGAACTTGCTTTCACGTTGGTCATTATGATTACAATAGACTTTATGTATGTTTACTTACGTTATGTTATAGATCTGCAGTAGTTGAGATTCAAGTTATCACTATTTTGGTGTTTTGACACTAACTAAATCCTTCAATGAAGTACGTCACTATCACTCACAACGTTCCTACGCACGCACAACTCTCACTACACTGTCAGCCATCTTGAAAATATTAATGTTATATTGTTAATAGTACAACTCAAAATAGCTACTAAAATAAAATTACTGATTTCCAAAATGTAATTTAAAACTAAAAACAATTATCTAAGTTATTTATAACAGGGCCTTGTGATGGTTCTCTTTTTATTATTGTGTGTAAGGAAATAATACTAAGTTATTCAAAAGAGAACTAGTTCCACTTCCTGTCAGGAAGGCGGGTCGATTTGAAATTTACAATAACGAAATTCAACAACAGTTATTGTAGTTGTAAGGTGCCCTAAATTACTATACATATAAATCGCTTATTTATTCCACTAATACACCAAACAAATATGTATTTATGTAACCTAGAGGTCATCCAGTGGTCGAAAACTCAACCAAAAATGTAATGTACAGACTCTTCTATTTCCCCACCACGCTGTAAATAGAACATGTGATTGTAGTTTCTTCCATTTGTATCGATTTTCTGTTAATATTTCGTTGTTATTTTGTTATGCAACCCATAAGGTCCATGTTTTTTATTTTTTTTTTTTTTTTTTTTTTTAGCAAATTTCCCTATAGGGAAGTAGCTATTACCGTAGGTGGCGTGGTAAGATCTAGACCCGGGACCGAATGAGTTCGCTAACCAGCATGATCGGACCATGGGAACGGGGTTTTATGGGGTAAAAATTGGTTTTTCTCACTTTTGGCCCTCAAAACACAACATTTCCCTATTTCTCTTTAGACCTTTTTAAAGAGCTTAAAAAAACAAATAATTTAGTATATAAAAGTATTTTTGTTCGGTTATTAGTAACGGAGAAAATTCAAAAAATTGTAAATTTAAAATTTCCATGTTATACTTATGGAGAATATTGTCAAATGTTGTAGTTTGCTTGTTTATGGATATATTTTGATCAAACTTGGCAAATTTATTTATTTTGTAATAAGCTATCAATATTTTACTCAAAAACACACTTTATTAGCTTCCTTGAAGCAGCAAACCTAGGTACTCGTTAAACCTAATGTTATTAAAATATATTTAACTGAAAATCAATTCAGACAAATGGAAATTTGTTTAGTCGGCAGGTTTGCTGCGGCGGGGGTATTTTTAATTTTAAATTCATTTTTTGTGTTTAATTTTTTGCCTCATTTATTTTTTAACAGGATTTTGCATCCTACAGGAAAATATATTTCTAATAGTATTCGTAAATTTTCCCTACGATAAACACGAGCTGAGAAAAAAGGACGATGCATGTTTTTAAGTAAGTTGCGTTTTTAAATTTCTCCGTTTCCAGCGCTGCGATTTTCATTTTGAACATTGGCACTGTGTGCATCTATTGGCAAGCCTGCATAGGAAATTCGGCAAAAATCGGCCATGTTTACATCCGGTTTCGAGCATTCAAAATGGTGCCGCCAATTGAGACTGCCGCCTACTGTGAAGTGCGTGCTGTAATCAGATTTTTAACTGCTAAAGGTGTGAAAGCCATTGAAATTCATCGAAAGATTAGTGAAGTGTATGGCGAGAACATTATGAGTGACGGAATGGTACACAAGTGGGTAAGGGCATTTAAAGATGGCCCCACTAACGTTCATGATGAGCAACGCACTGGGTACTGGCAAATATAGTGTTATATATTCAATGGTACTGGTGACAGTAATGTCACTCCTGTCATATGCTGACGTCATCCAGATTGCAAACACCATTTCAACATTTAGAAAAAAATATAAAAACAATAACAATCAAATCAAAACAAATATATACTTATATGGCAATACGATCAGGTGATTTTTTTTTTCAATTTGGGTGACGTCAGCATATAACAGGAATAGCACAACAATGTTTTTTCCTTCCACCATCGATGATTTCTTGGAGCTTGATGAATTTTTATCACATTAAATTAAATAATCCTGATAATTCTAATTATTCCTAGTTAGAAGGAACCCTACCCAAGAAGGTTGAATCTTGGAAGAATACATATATTGTTACAAAACTATATCCTACATTTTACAATAAATGAACTGGTTTGTAGCCGAACTTTCATGGTTTGGTTTTCATTGGTTTCATACTGTCCTTTAGAAACAGGTGGGACCGATATCTCTTTAATTGTTTCAGGGTAGGCCTAGCTTTAAACAAAATTACTTTCATTAGTCAGAGACAATATGATGATACAATTTACAATTACACAAACCAGTTTGTTTAATAGTCCTAGTGTGTGGTTATTTTTTACCATTAGGAAAAAGAATTTATATAAACCAAAATGTTATTACAGTATTACCGAATTTCCCTATAGGGAAGTAATTTACTTTACTTTAATACTTTTAAATACTTTTCAACGAAATGGCGACCATACAAATTAGGTATTTTAAGCCAAGTGTGAATGAAGATGAGTGTAGGATGAGTGGCACGATCTTGTAGTCTTGTTAGTGACTAAGACCGACTTATTCCTTAGACACTTAGACAGAGCTGTTAATTAATAGCCCATACAGCTAATGGCAACTAAGGGACCTACAGTTTATAGTGGAATCTGAACCACGTTTTTGCCTTGGTATATACGAATTGGTCTAATTTTAAGGATAGTACTGTGGATAGTCGTAGTACTCACTCGTGCGGGCATTAATCCACACCAGGGAGTTTCGCATCCACAGTGCATGACTATAAATATCCACAATTCGTAACCTCCTAGTAGCTGGATTACAGGACCAAGCCACCCGTCCCAGTTAGCCGTATTTACCGTAGCTATTTACAGTAGGTGGCACGGTAAGACCTAGGCCCGGGACCAATTTACTTTTTCATTTTGATGTCCCCACAGGCCAAAAACTCCATTCGTTCAAATGATTATACAGGGTGATTGATATAAGTGTGCCAGCCGTTTTATTCGAAAACTATAAGAGATATCAAAAAAAGTTAAATGGTAAGTGCCTTGGATTTTTTATTAAAAAAATTATAGTCAAGTCAAAAAAAATATTTTAGCCGCCATTTTTCCAATATGGCCGCCAACTTTGATTTTTCTTATGGAACACCCTGTATTTTATGATGTATTCTGGTAGCAAAGGTAATTTTAAGACAATTTTATTCTTGTGATTTTTTTCATAAACCTAACCGTTTCAAAGATAATAATGGTTTAAGTTGTGAAATTTTGAATGGTTTTCGAGCAAAACAGCTGGCATGCTTGCTTCGAAACTCTTTCTCAAGCAGAAATTTCAAAACTTTAACCATTATTATCTTTAAAACGGTTAGGTTTATGAAAAAAATCACAAGAATAAAATCGTCTTAAAATTACTTTTTCTTTCAGAATACATCATAAAATACAGGGTATTCCGTAAGAAAAATCAAAGTTGGCGGCCATATTGAAAAAATGGCGGCTAAAATATTTTTTTTGACTTGACTATAATTTTTTAAATAAAAAATCCAAGGCACTTACCATTTAACTTTTTTTATATCTCTTATAGTTTTCGAATAAAACGGCTGGCACACTTATATCAATCACCCTGTATATATATCTATCTATCTATCTATCTATCTATATAAATGTGTGTGTCCGTAAAAGCGATAACTCGAGTAATTTTTGCCCGATTTAGATTAAATTTGGTTTAAAGGTGTAATGCGGGATAAACTTGAACCAGCATGATCGGACCAAGGAAACAGGATTTTACGGGGTAAAAATTGGGTTTTCTCATTTTTGACCCTCAAACACAAAATTTTCCAATTTCTCTCTAGACCTTTAAAAAAAAATAATAATTTAGTGTATAAAAGTGTTTTTGTACGGTTATTAGTAACAGATGAGAAGATTCAAAAATTGTAAATTTAAAATTACCATGTTATTCTTATGGAGAATATTGTAAAATACAACAGTTTGCTTGTTTAAGGATATATTTTGATCAAACTTGGCTAATTTATTCATATTATACGAAGTTATTAATATTTTACTAAAAAACACACTTATAGTTGCTTTGTGGCAGCAAACCACCTAGGTACTCATTAAAAACCTAATATTATTTAAATAGATTTGATTTAAAATCAATTCAGATAAATGGAAATGCACTTAGTCGGTAGGTTTGCTGTGGCGGGGGTATTTGTTTTTGTTGTGTCCATGGAGACCAATCAATAAAATATTTATAATAAACATAAGAACATAGAAGGCCTAAAACGATAAACCCTAAAGCAAAATCCTTTGTCGTTTATAAACCTGCCTGTACTAAACTTCTGCTAAATTCAAATTTAAAATAAAAATATCACCAATATTTTTTAATTTTTATTTTCATGAGGCCTTTTGCCTCATAGTTTTTGTGAAGTGTCTGATGATGCCATCATAGCTGGCAAAAAGCCTCATGAAAATAAAAATTCAAAAATATTGGTGAAGTTTGTATTTTAAATTGGAATAAAACCAATATCACCAGATCTTGATGAAGATTCTGTTAAATTGATTTAATATTAAAATCTTGCACTATAGAAAGTCAATACATTATTGGATTCCGTGTAAGTTACTAAGCTGTTTTGTCATAACTTGGTGTTATTGTTTGTAGTCAACACATGACATATACTCAAAGCATATACAAATAAAAAATCTATATATTAATTTGAAACTGTTTTTCTTTGTCATAGCTATTTTGAGAGAACGGCTCGGCGTAGAAACTCGGTAGAGGTGTCTAAAGAAAGGTATTGGTCTGTAGATGAGCCATCAAAAGAGAAACATGGTGAATTCCCTTGGAGCTCTGCCCCCGTGGCCTTTAAATTCCCATCCCATGTTATTCTTATGGAGGAAAACGGGGTTTTTGTCACAGCTAATTTGAGAGAACGGCTGGGCGTATAAACTTGGTAGGGGTCTCTAAAGCAGAGGTTCCCAAACTGTGGTACGCGTACCCCCTGGTGGTACGCGAGACATTGCCAGGGGGTACGCGAGTAGGACTGTGCCAGTTTGCGCGATCTAGTGGCGAGGTTATGATCATTGCGGCTCCCTCCGAGCTAGCTTTACAAAATACTTACAAGAAGACCTGAGTTCGTACTCATGGATTAAAAACCCTTTTGCTGATATTGAGAAAATTGTTCAAGACAGCTTTTCTCTGAAACTCAAAGAGGAGCTTTTTGAGTTAAACTGTAATTCGGACCTAAAACAAGTATTTAACAAAACCACGCTTATTGATTTTTGGATCCAACGACGCTCAGAGTACGGTGAAATTGCTGACAAAGCAGTTGAGTTTCTACTCCCGTTCCGAACTTCCTATCTATGTGAGGCGGGATTTTCGCATCTGCTGTATATCAAAAATAAATACAGGAACCGAATGCATACAGTGGAATGTGATCTCAGACTCAAGTTAAGCCCAATTATGCCAGACATCAGCGGTTTAAGTCGTTCCATTCAAGCTCATCCCTTACATTGAATAACTGATTACTTTCGTGTGACAGATTTATCGTGTGACATTCACAATTCTGAATTTTGTATTTTGTAATTTGATTATAATTAAATAAATGTATTAATGTAGTTTCTTGCATTTTATCATTCCAACCTACTAAATTTCAACATCAATACAGTAACTAAAAACAAAAGTAATAAAATAGTAATTTTATATAATATTAAAAATCTTGTATTGCATTTTATCGTTGAAATTCAGATTTTATAACATAGGTCATAGTAATGATGAATGCATATAATAACTTGGATTTTTTTAAAGCAAACTAATGATACGTATACATTTTTAAATTAATTGTATTATGGGGTACGCCTTAATACATAGTACGAACTAAGGGGTACATCACCAAAAAAGTTTGGGAACCCCTGCTCTAAAGAAAGGTCTTGGTCTGTAGATGAGCCATCAAAAGAGGAAAGAGGTAAATTCCCTTGGGGCTCTGCCCCAGAGGCCTTTAAAGTTCACTCTGCAATATTGTTTACATTTCGACCATATGGATAATTTTACACTACTTTTATGAACCAGCTGTTAATATTAAAATTGAATTCAAAGGTCTACTGAAACTGTCAAAATTAAATGTTTACATTTTTATTTATGATTTTAAATGGATTCTCCACTGCATGGCAAGTTTTTTATAGTTTCAACAAAATGATGAATTTATGATACGTTTGAAATGTTTTGTTCAAAAATCTATGCTTTATTGCTCTTAGAGAATTTTAAATTATGAAATAAGTGTGACTTATCAATTTCAAAGGAACATATACCTTATCGGTAACTATAAAAGGTAACTATTCCTTATCGGGGGTGCATATTGTAAGGTTGGCACTTTCCTTTTTTTCCTACTTTCAATCACCATTTATTTTTAAATTCAAGAAAGAACACCTGAGATTCATTTATTGGTATAACAGTTTTTGATAATCGGGTTGAAAATTGTGTCATAGATGAGTACGTTGAGGATGAGAGCTGTGTTCAAGTTTTGGAATAGACTAACTACGAAGTCTATGGTTTTGGTAAAGAAGGTGAATTAATGTCAATTCAGGTATTTAAAAAAAAAATGTGTACACAGTTTTTACTTTGATGTACACATGTAGCTAGGTTGAACAACGCATCTAAACCTCACTACATACAAAACATTCGGAAACATAAAAGTGTCATCACATCTCATCGCATTTGCATAATTTGTTACCAATGCTGGACTAGGTTATGGATTTGGTTCCGCAAATGTTCAAGATTTGTGATGAGATTTCCTACAATTATGGTTCATTCCAATCCACGAAATACATGCACAGCTTTATGTGATCTATATGGCCAAGGCAAAACTACCCCATAAGTTAATGAATTATCAAGTAAGAACAGGATGATTAAATACATGGGTCGATGTGGCAAGAGAAGGATTTAAAATTGCTGAGATCGAAGTAAGAATGTTACTGCTTTCTGGAGCATCAGATATTTTTATAAAAAAAATATGAAGATTTACTTATAAATCCGGATACAATCTGAATGATTTTCCTAAAGCAGATGGAATTAGTGGTTAGTAATAAATATTGACTCTTTCCGTAACATGATAGACTAATTATATGAACTCATTCTCCCATATAGTGAAAGTGGCTTTGGTTTGAAACAAACAATTATGAGACTCCTAAAAAACCTTTTGGGCAACCTAAAGCCGATAAAAAGAAAGGTAGGAAATATTGTGTTAAACGAATTCATCAATCACGTTTTTTAGGGAACACAATCGTCATACTTATTATTGCTTATCCTCCCTTCATATATCTAAGATTTTAATGACTTCACTCTATCCTACACAGTTTGCTGAATTTACATAAAACCTCAAGATTAACCGTCGATTTCGACGGGGTTCCAACAGTAACAATAAAAAATAAATTATATGCCTTGATTTGACATAATATACTTCTTATGTCAGCTCAGCTGGCCAGATTATTCCCAGTAGGAGATCAATCACACACATTTTACATCCATGTTGTCATGGCAACCTCTAACTACGCCCTCCCCCTCTTTCCTAGTGTTGTTTGGTAGGCTTTCTGCAAACAAAAGAAAATAATAATATCTAGAAATGACAACAGATTTAAATTATTCTACAATAAAGTTAGCTCATCAAGTTAGAGATTTTGTGAGTAGCCTACTTAGCGAATTTTAAAGATAATAAACATTTTTCATTTAGCAAACTTGATGAAGTAAAGTCATCTTGGTTATATCAGAGTGTATATAGTAACTTGAGTTTTATTTTTACAACATTAAAATAAAATGTAGTCAAATCACAGAAATGATAAAATAATAATTAAATTGCCAGAACTAGGGATTTTTATAAAACTAGAGTGATTACTCACTATCAATATGGGTACATTTAACATGCTCATGACAAAATGTCTATGGACAAGCAAAAATTTTTATACTTTTATAGATAGCTATTTTTAGTTAGCATCATATACCAAATGATAAAAATTAGGTCTATAAAACTTGAGCAGGGTATTTAAATAAATTCTAAAATAAATTTGCTAACTTTAGTACCTTATTGAGGATCATTGGTAACTATATCCGGGTAGTTATTACGATGTTTTTTAATATTGCTAAAAATCATATTACACACCTCTAAGATGCAATACGGTAAAGTCAGATCCTAAATTTGTTTTCCATCTATCAGGAGGAGAAAAGACTGCAAGACCGCAAAAAACACACTCTGTACGTTGTGCATCAGTACTTGAAGGATGAAGGGTAAGACAAAATTACTTAGCCTAGAGCTTAAAAGTAAGTAGGCATTGTAGCTCAATAAATATTTTCTAGTTGCATAGGCAGTGGCTGTTCCAGGGGAGCTATATAGGGGCTTCCCCCCATTGGACCCTGTAAAATATTAATTTAATTTTTCATACATTTTGTCATAAAAATGTAACGGAGGTTTTTGGACACAGTTCTAGGCGTTAAAAATGGTTTTTAAAATATTCACCAAATGCCGTTAACAAAAGACTATTTTCTGGGGGAGGACCCCCAGACCCCCTAGCTCCTGGTGTGGAACCGTTCACCCCCCTCCCCTCTTTACAAGGTTGTAGAACCGCTATAGGTAATTGGAATACAAATTAAGAGCATTTCAAGCAATAACAAAATCAATCAGCAGGCTATTTACATTTTTTTGCAAAAAAACTATTCACTCAAAGTATCTAGGCAGAGATGGCGCTTGTTTGTGAGTATGAACAGACACATAGTTTACATGTGCAGAGTACGGACCTGCTTTATGGTGATGGTTCACTAAAACACTTTAATTTCTGGAGAGCCTCAGTATAGTACCAATGTCACAATCTCTCCTTCGACAGACTTTTCTCTCTGGGAAATAATTGGCAAGACCGACTTCTTCATTTCCATCGAAGTTTTAATTGAAAAAAATCATTGTATGTTGGGCCGGTGTTGTTCGACAAACTCCTAACAACTTCAATGACCTTTCCTTGGATCAATGTCAAGTTAAGAGTGTTGACCTTAATTAATTATGTTCAACATATAATCCTACTTCGTTTTAAGATCATTAAAACTGGCTATTATTTTAACTGACTTTTGATAACTATTGCCATGTTACGAGCTATTGACTTGAGTTATTCAGTAAAGCAGATGTATACTGTACATTGCTTCATAATAAAGGCATTTTTACTTTATTATTATAATCTATTTATTTCATTAAATAGTACTCTTCAATTTGCAGGTATCACAGTACAGCTCAGCAGTTTGAGTCAGAGGCCAGTCTCAGCAATCAGTTTGTGGTATGTGATAACATTGATCTCTACACCATCCTTCAGGAGTTTGAATCGTACTTCTTTCTGCGGTTCCAGAAATATCCTAAGGTATTGCAGTTTAAAAATTATATCATCTACAGTTTGTTTCCCTTGATACACTTCTTATTAATTTTAAGGGATCTCCATTTTTGTGTCAAAGGTTTTTTAATGTAAATTAAACATTTTTTTATTGAAACAATTTTTTAGCCACATTACACTGTTTAAATGAACTTACTACGCAAGGATTTGGTCCGGAAAAGAGCTGTTTGCCGCCTGCTTAATCAAATGGGGTTTCATTGCGTAGTACGGTAATGAGTTTTTACCTTATATTCTGAACAACCATACTTACCAGGTATCAGGGAAACACCTATTTTTTGGATTATTAATCTAGGCTATATAAATAAAATTAGAGTTTTGTCTGTACATTGCTCAGAATTATACATTTTTTGGTTATTTTTACTTTTTATACATAAAAAAAAGCAGAAACGAGTCTTATTTCTATTTCTGTCTGTCTGTAACACTCAAGATGGCATTTTACGCTATCTTCTCCAGGAAAACGAAAGTACCTATTAAGATCCAAGTCATTTTAATGTATTCACTGGATTGACGAGAGTGTCTTTAGCCATTAAAATATGGTCTCACTACTTTGTAAATAAAATTACGGACAATCAAAAAAGCAGTTTTGTGCGATTTTTGTAAAGTTTCCATAAAATTTTCATAAAATAATCATCTATGAAATAACGAACAGCTGTTCGGATCAAGATAATTTTTTTCTAGCCGTCACTGATATGTTTAAAAATTTTGTTTACAAATACCGCAACCATTTTCGATCACGTTTAGAAAGCAAATCCCAACCAAGTGAGATTAAAAACGCCAACTTGAAACTGTCAGATACTGTATGTTTATATACAATTGTTTTACCAGCATATCTGAAAATATGTAAACCGAACTGCTGTTCTTAATATAAGAAGGTTTCATTCAACTGACTACGATAAGATCCCCGTGCGTAGAACGGGCACACAGCTAGTGTAGTATAAATATACTATTACATCGTTTTATAGTAAATTATAGTAGAGCTTTTGAAAAGAATAGTTACAATGCTTGACGATTTCTTGGAATGTTTCAATAAATTTTAATAACTTAGTTTTTAATCTAGAGAGAAATATCTATATTATTTGTCTATTCAAATTGTAATCAACTGATACATTGAAAAACTGTCAGTCAAAAACATCTAATGAAATCTAAAATGCAACAAAAATTTACTTAACAGTTACCCACTCTAGCATTACCGGTACCTTTATATCAACCAATACATATAAAAACTATCATCATGCTTTTATAATCAGAAAGGTCTTAAATCAATTACTAGAGTTAACAACAGCCGTACTATTTGGTGTCTACCATATTGTTATATAAAACCCATCAATAAAACATGAATTGTAAAAATTGAACAGTGCTTTATCTTTCAAAATATTTAATGAATACTTTAGAAATAAAACAAAGAAGGACACTTAGTCACCTGAAGCTTAAGTTCCTCACAGTCCAGGCTGTTAATCCACAAAGTGTTTGGGCAGTTTAGGAACGTCTCTCTCAGCAAACAAATTGAAAACTCTTCCGATCCGCTTTTACAAGTCAGATTGCTTTTGGCTGCATTTTCTAAAGAGTCTACACACTTGTCCACACTTTTTGAAACAACAGTTTCTAAATCCCCGTTCCTGTTTGAAAGAGTTTTTTTAAGTGATTTCATTTCAATTTTACCATCTTTAAGATATCCACTTTCTTGGAAAATACATTCAGTCACACATGTCTGGATGTTGAGCATTTCCAATTCTCGGTCTGATCCGGAAATGTTTACCGGTGGTGTTTTATCATCAAACGGTTGTTCAGAAGAAGGAAATTTGCTGAAACACTTTCCAATGACTTCACTTTTGAAGATGTCAAAGCTGTGTTCAAATCTTTTACAGCAATCAAGATAATCAATTGTTTGTGGGCCACAATCATCGTTACCAGTAGCTTTGAAACTTCTTGCTGATAAAACAATGAGAAGTATTAAGTCGAATGTGTTTGTCCTCATTCTATTGGCTTTTTTTACAACAATAAATAGAGATTGTTTTCAAACAATATTGACTGACACACACACACACAAAGAGCAAATGAAGGTTGATCCATAACAGGATGTTGGTTTCCTCTTTAGATATCATGTTGTGAATAACTCAATTACCTGAATAAAAAGCAGCAACATATTTGTAATGACTAGACACTGAAGTTCTTTAAAACTTTAAAATAGTCATATTTAATAATCATGTTTCATTTTTCAGATTTGTAAGAAAATATTGCCTGGAGGTGGAGATGGCAAATCAAAATTACAAAGAAAATCAAGCGAGAATGGATTTGACTGCAAGTTGATTGCAAGCTCACTCTCTTGCCCAAAACAAAACAAAACCTCGTCAAAAGCTCCTGGAAACTCTACAAGAGGAAAAAACAAACCATTTGTTTCAGATTTCGACATAACAATTCTCCCGATCACCGCTCCAAACCCCAATGTTCACCTCCAACCTATTGAATCTGACTTGTCTTCTGAAAGAATTCTTAAACCCATCTCAGGCCTGGAGGGATACACCGGGGAAATGAAGGAGTTTGCAGACATAATATCTAAGGCAAGTTAAACATTTTAAACTAATTGCACAGCTTGGAATTTGAAATATAAATTCTTATAAAGACTAGAAATAATTGGTTAGCGATTGTAAGCCACACAGTTAAACACACACATAATAATGAGTTGTTTGCTACCGTACTATTCTTGTTGAGATATTAATTTCAAATGTAATAGTCTATTAACTTTTAAAACTAAAACTGTTTACAATCACTTTAAACATATTATTTTCTTATCTGTTTCAATACTGCAGTGATCTATTGATTGTTCTAAATCCTTGTGACCCTTAATTATTTATTTGGCTCCTCAGGAGATTTTCGTCCAGGACCTGAATGTGAGATGGGAGGACATCATGGGGCTGGAATCAGCCAAAAGGCTACTTAAGGAGGCTGTGGTGTATCCGACCAAGTATCCGGAGCTGTTCACTGGTATCCTGGCTCCGTGGAAGGGACTCTTGCTTTACGGACCTCCAGGAACTGGTAACTTTGTAGTATTTTATAAGTTCCAGACCATGACAACATATAGTTACAAAATACACTAAAATAACTTTTAACTACAAACCATTAAACCGAAACCAGGGTTAACCATAACCATTAAAAATTCAAATAAATTGGAAATGAGCTAGGCTAAGGGAACTGTTTGCAGTGGAGCGTGGAGTGTGAGTAATTGGTTTGGCTCGGCCAACAGAATGTAAAGGAGCAGACGACGACATAGATCTCTATAATGTGAAATAATGTTGAAAATGTAACTTAAGATTATTAAAAGAAATAGATTTTGTGTATACAGTTGAACTTTAAGAAGACAGGATAAAATGGCATAAAAAACTACTGTTGTAGATCTCTTTTAGTTATGGGTCGGTTGCTGATTTTAATGGTCTGTTTTTGTTTTCAATCGGTTCTCGGTTTTCACTTTTTTGGTTGTTCCCCCTTTTGTATCACTTATTTAAATGGAATGTATCTCTCTACTCATGCAAAGGCAGTACAAACGTTTGAAATTGTAAATTGTACTTCATGTGAGGGCAGTTGTATATTTCGAAGCAAAGATTAGGTTAGACAACATACCCCTAGCTTCAATAACTTATGCTATATCTATACAATCCACAATAATTTTCTTATTTTAAAATGCAAGGTTACAACTTTAAGGTTATCCTCATAAATTATAATAATATTAGATTAACATGTTAAAAATGTAGGAGTTACTAAAATCATAGGATGGACACAACTCTTACAGAGCTGTTTTTAACCCAAATAATAACAACAGTATGACTGTATGCTAGATATTACACACTTCGACAATTTTAGTAGTGATTTCACAAAATATCACACTTGTGATCCTCTTTTAACATTATTATTATAATCAAGTTTTACATTTCAATAACTGTTTACAGTATACATGGTACGGTAATGTTTAGTAGGTCTAAACAGTACAGTTAGAATTTTTATTGCATTTTAAAAACTTCAATTCCATTATTCCATTGAATCCTTATATTTTCTCTCTATTTTAGGAAAAACTCTGCTTGCCAAAGCTGTAGCATCAGAGTGCAGAACTACTTTCTTCAACATCTCGGCCAGTTCCATTGTGAGCAAATGGCGAGGAGACTCAGAGAAACTTGTCAGAGTGAGTTATCAAGTCACAAACTCTGACACAGAATAGAAATGTTATTTTCCTACAGTCACCTGACAAAGTGGGCTTCCTTACACTGATTATAGTACAGAAAGTTGCTAATTGCTGTATTTACTTACTTTTGCCGCACTCCAATATTCCAACCAAACAATACAAAACAGCGTGCTTACTGCTTTTATTAGGCAAGAAATATGTGTACGCTTTAAAAATAAGTTGGCAACACTTAAAGATACTACGACTACAATCATCTGTTTCTCATTTCGTTCAATGCTTGGATTTAACCTAAAACGTGTTTTTTGGTGTTTGAAAGACCAATTATTTCTATGCTTTCAAGTGCAAATTGCCCTTGCTGCACTTGAGAAATAATTTTCCACACTCGCCTGTGACTTGTGCGTAAACATTTCTCTCGTGTGCAGCAAAGTGCTACTTCCCACACTAGTTGAACAAATAATTATAGTACAAGGTCTGGGCATTGTATGGCAAATACAGTATTAAGCTGTGTTTGTAATTACTGCATTCGACAGCCTCTTTCAACGTCATGTGTACCTTGAACCACACTTGCACTTTGTTTTATGGTCCTCCAAACTCAAAAACACCATTATTCATCAAAGACCCAGAAAATATCTTGTTCTTAATTAAACAACATTATGACTACGTTGCATGCTTTTGTATGCATATGCAGTATTTGTTGACATGTTAAATCCAAATGGTTAACAAATGTTGTAATAAAAATCAAACCAAACATTTTTATTCAGATCTAGCTAGAACTTTTACATGGGAATAGGCAGTCTAGTTTAATACATTTTATTACACAACTGGAGACCAAGAGTTATGTTCCAGCTTTGGGTATGAATATAACTATAATCCCATTCCCATGTCAGGGTTATGTAGCCAGTTTTAGAATAAAAATGAATACAGTTAGATTGAGCCTCTGAGTTAGCTGATGTAAATTACTGATTTAGGTCTAATACTGTTAGGTCGATTTTTGAACCAATAAAATCAACCATCATAGTATCTGCAAGTTACGGAAGAAATTGAATTGAGTAGCACATTATGTAAGCTCATTCAATTGTGCTAAATAATAACAATTTTCAAAAGTCAATGGTTTCAGGTAATGTTTGAGGTGGCCAGGTATCACGCCCCGTCCACTATCTTCATAGACGAGCTGGATGCCTTGGCTGGTCGTAGAGATCACGCGGTCGAACATGAGGCAAGTCGACGACTCAAGACTGAGCTGTTAGTACAACTGGACGGACTCGCTCAGTCTGACGAACGAGTCTTTCTGCTGGCTACATCTAACTTACCCTGGTAACAACTGAACATTTCAAACTAATGCATACCTTTAGAGGCTGCATGATAACTTTATACTATTGAAATGTGCGAAAAAGGAATCATCTTTTTTTGTTTGACAACACAGTAGAACATCAATTATCAGGCTATATTAAGACTGGACATCATCAGAATAGCCAAAAGTTATGGTAGCAGGCAGTGAATCACGGTTAAGGTGCCTTTTCCTGGAGGCCGAATTTTTCTGTGTTTTTGGCCCTAACTGAACACACAAAGATCAAATACAGATGTTTTTATTGGGCAAATTCAACATGGAAAACTCAGAGCCTGAAAGACTCGCAAGACATTTATTATTTTGAATCCGTATTCAGCATCAGCTAGGGCTGTTTTAAATATACATCATTTTGATTTTAAAGTACCACATCAGAAAGATTTTTTCTTTCACCAACTTCTTTGTGGCCATATTTACAGGAAAGAATAAACCAGAAGGTGAATCTAATGGTTTGCCAAAGCTGTGACTAGACATTGCCCTTGTTATCTGTACGTGTTTCTGTCTCTAGGGATCTGGACCCTGCAATGTTGCGACGGCTGGAGAAACGTATCTTAGTGGATCTGCCAAATTTGGCTGCCCGACGGGAGATGATAAAACACAACTTACCACCCTTGGTACTGGAACGACCCAAACTAACTGCGGACCTCGACTACGATCTGCTTGCTGAGGTAGGACCCCACTTTAAATAGTATCCCTAGTTTAAGCCCATAGGCCGATAGATTGGCCATCAAGATTAAGATAATTTAACCTGAACTTATCTCTGCAAGTAAATCTCCATAAAGACGGCTGAGAGCATTTAAAATAATAAATGTACCCTGATAACCTCGGAGTAAAATTGAAGACTACTACACTAGGGTTTCAGGTTTACCTGTATTGTTAAAGTGGGAGAAAATTACAACTTCATGGGCTGAAGGTAGAGGCAATTCACAAGATTCTAAACCAAAATATCAGATGACCCAACAAAATAAAATAATAAGCCAGTTTTTTTTTACTATTTGAAGTAAAATCTTTTACTAAAAAAGTAAAATTTTGATGTTACTTTTTTTCAAATTAACGATCAAATTTTCTTTCACTCTATATTGGCATTTAGTTTTTCCAATGTACTTGACTTTGACCTCTCTACCCTATCTTACAGTTTTGAGTACATTGTGTTGTTCCTTTTTTGTATAGAAAACCGCCAGCTACTCTGGTTCTGACATTCGACTCGTATGTAAAGAGGCAGCCATGCAAGCCATGAGACAGGCATTCGGCCACCTAGAATCCAGCACTAGTGGTGAGTGTATAATTTACAGTTTGTGGTTAGTTAGTATAACTTAAACATATCTGTTTTTATAAACAATCTTGCTTACTATATAATGTAAAACAGTATCACAAAGCTTAGATTTTAATTAGAAATGGTTTAAACTAGAAATTTTCAATCTCATAATCAAAACATAAATCAAATCAAGAATCTCAATACCTGAATGCAAAACTTTTGAACTTGTTCTTTAAGGTTAAAAGAAAATTTAGGGATATTATTAAATGTCTTAAGTCATGTTATGAAATTATAAAACTGAAATAAATTAAACTCCAGACACTTACATAATTAATACCATGGATTTGAGGTCAACTCAAACATTTGTATAAAGATCGATATTATTTTTGGCGGTTTTGGTTTGGATTTTGAATCTTGCCAATTGAATCTCAAAACCCAAACTTTTCTTGTGTTCTTATGGTTTTGAGATTTGAGATTCGGTTTTGACGCATTACTAATAATTTTGATTACGTTTTAAGATAGCAATCAGCTACCAAGAAGAGGTGTTAGAGACTAACATATAAGTTCAAAAGTGGCGGTTTTAATTTTATCATATTTGATTGCATAAGGTTTTGTAACAAATAAAGAAATTGTGTTGTTAAGTGAACAAAGGTAAGATAATAAAGACAGTAAAAAAATTTTCCTTTTTGAAAAAGGAGTCTGAACTTGGTGAGATATAGCTTGATAACCCACTCAGAATCCAAGAAATAATTATTACGACTTTAAAAAAAGAGCAATGTAGAATTTTCACAATTATTATTAATTTTATAGTAATTGCATGACAATAACTATGAGCTTATATCAATTATTACTATAAAGTATTAATGCATTTTATTTTACTAGATAATGAGCTCGGGAAGTTACAACTGAAGCCGATGACAACGGCGGATGTGGAAGCAGCATTAACTCGAACTAAGCCTTCAAACTCTTCGCTTGTAGGGAAATATCGCAAATGGCAGACGGAGTATGGTTCAACATAACAAAAGAAATAATTGTGGTCCTTTTAAAGAAATGCTGCAATATGAAATCTAAATAGTAAACTCTGCTTCACAAGTTGAATATTTGTCATTACATTTCGAGTAAATACTTATAAAAGTTTTAGCTCAAATTGGTGTGGTGGCTAAAAAGTTAATATGGTTGGATACTGGATAGTAGTTATATCATCTTTTGCTAGTTCCTATTCACTCTCAGAAGGTGTAGTAATCATTCAAAAAGTCTGAACTGGTAATTGCTTGTGGTGCCCTTTGTATGAATAATGTTTAGATAAGTAGACCCAGTACCACTAACAGTAAATCTATCATTTTTTTCAATTTTAGATCAACTGATGTTTACCTACAGGTTACTGAGTTCAATTACATGCTTAAGATAGATGATTAAGATAATTTATTAGGCCCCCTAATATTGCAGTTAAAAAGCCAAGTTACAACATTACTGAAAAATCTGCATAGCTTTTTATCAACTTTGAAATTTAATCACTTGTAGCTTGTAGTTTAATTTGTCAACACATTTTTTGAAGTAATTCTAGTCATTAGACTATAGAGATGCGATTTTAATGAGTGTTCAATATTTTACCCTTAACATTTGCATAAATAAGTTATGCTACACTAGATAGCTAATATTTTGAGCTGTGTTCCAAAATTACAATAAGGCCTAATAATATGGATCAGCAGAGTCAAATGTAACGAGAAATTTATTTACATGTTTTACGAGGGTAGTAAATTTCAAACACAAATAAAATCTTACACATTTGCTTGACTGAAAATTGTGTTGGATGTTTGCAAATCACAGCTTCGAGATACATGCTACACCCTTGGACTTCACTTTAACTTTTTTAACTTGCTTTCCGGCTCAAGATATTTTGAGTCTAATCAGTTCATCCCTAAAATAAACTGGTGTTTATTCCGCTCAAAATGTTGCCAACTTATTAGAATAATCAAAAGAAAATCAAAATAGTTCTAGAATGAAATTAAAATACAGTAGTTAAAACAAGTAGTAATGGCTTGCTTAAATCATCAATAATAGCTTTGTAGCTACAGTATAGTAATGTTATATGTATTGGGGGAGATACACAATTTACCAAATGTTAGATTCTTTGGAATAAACTTACAGTAATCCATGATTAATTTTTAGTAATTTGTCTTCATGCAACATCAACTTAAAATTGCAATACTTAAAGAATATGGAGAACAACTGCTAATATGTTTATTGTACTTTAGTAATTGTGTAATGCCAAATAACTAAACCTTTCACTATTGATACTTCAGTATCCAATAGTATCCATGTTAGTACATCCACAGGAATATAATTAACATTATATCAACTTTTAGGATAAGTAAATCCTAAACACAAATAATTTACTTATTCAAAAAGTACTGTAATGTTATTTTCGGTTTTCAGTGCATTATCTATCACAGATTTAACATGAACAACTGATTCCTAAATCCATACAGTGAGACAAACATATCCAGTCTTAAGAGGTATGTCACAAAAAACTGCCAGAAATGGCAGAAAAATCAATGGTTGAAATGTAGCCTATAGGCCTAGTTATATTGTCTATTAGTTATTAGATTGCAATTTTTATCTTCTTGTTATAAATTTCTAACTTGTATGACACACATATTGTCTGTCGAAATAAAATGTGTTTGAAAACAATTCTGAAAAAAATGTTATGTCCCTTCTGCGTAATGTAAAGAGCCTACTACACTATTCAAGATCAGATAATTTTCTAACAACTAAGAGAAAGACATCCGATCCATACTTCATCGCCGGACTTAGGTAATAGATTAGGTAATAGCAGCCCTAGGCGAAATTAACTCTATATGTGGAACTTCTCTTTAATCGAGAAGAAATCGTGAACCTCCCCCTTAATCACGGGGACATAATTTCAGTCACCCGCGACCATGGAAAATTATTCATTTAAAAAATAAAACTTCAATTTGTGCACTAAGAGAATTGTTTTTGTACAATATGCTCTGGCCTGGTCGGCTTGGTGGTAAATCTGGCACTCGATTGACAACTATTAACTCAGCAAATTACTTTGTTACCAGACAATAGTCTGAAGTCTAAACATAGATTTTTAAATGATCATGGTAGCCAAGATCATTCTTCAACCAACAACAAACTTATTGATAAATTTAAGAATTCAATGGGTAAATAATGTATAGATTTTTCTTTCAAGTTTTGTAGGGCACACAAAAGTAAAGTAGTCCTAGTAAATATTTTTAAATGCTTTTATTTACATACATATACAAAAATATCAACTTCCGATTATCTAACAGCTTAAGATTGAATTTTTTAGAAACATTAATGATGTTGAAGATTTTGCCCTCTTTCGTACAAACCTGCAACCAATAACTTTATTGAATTACTTGTTTTTTTCTTAATTATTCATACAGAAAAATCCTAGTTACATTTAACTTGTGTAACCTACTTTTACACTGATCAGCAAGGAAGTGTTGCAATTCAAACATTTAAGTTTAAAATCATTGAAATAATAAAAGTTTGACTAAAAATTTTTTTCCAGGTTATTATTATCCTACAAAATAATCTTAAATTAGGGAGACCGTTTGCAATAGACATAACTAGCAGCTCTTCCAGGTATTAAATGAAAGATCATAAAAAGAGTAAATAGCAAATAATCTTCATTGAGCGACTGTACATTAGCAAAATCAGTATAACAAAAAATTGTAAACTCAAAAGCTCACCTGTATAATATCCACACATATACCATGACATCAGCATGGAGTTTAATTCTTCCTGCCTCTTCATTGAAGAACTCTGAATCAAAAAGGAAAAGAGTTTTTCATTACAAGTACTGAACATGGCATTTTTTGGTGTGTGCTCAAATTACATCAACACCAAATTTTACTTACAAGGCAAAGCCAAGCATGTAAGGGTGGTTTTCACATACAAAGCAGAGCCCAGGGAAATCACTTTTGGTACAAATTATGAATGGTACTTTTCATCACAACACAATCTATATAAATAAAATTACAGTTTTGTCTGTACATTGCTTAAAATCATGCAGTTTTTGGTTATTTTTACGTTTCATAGCCTAAGAAAGCCGAAACGAGTCTTATCTCAATTTCTGTCTGTATGTCTGTTTGTCTGTTTGTCCATTCTGTGACTCCGTCTGTAACGCCAAAACGTCATTTTACGCGGCCTACTCCTAGAAAACTAAAGTACCGATCAGGGTTTTAATCATTTTTCTGTATTTACTGGATAGGTGAGAGTGTCTTTGGCTATAAAAACATGGCCTCGTTTCTTTGAAAACAAAATAACAAACCACCAAAAACCCAATTTTGTTTGATTTTTTCAAATTTTCTCCCAATGTTTACTATTACATTTTATGAAATAATGATCAGCTGTTTGGATTAGTTCTCACTTCTAGCTGTCACTGATATGTTTACATTCAAAGTTGTTTACAAATACCGCAACCATTTCCGATCAAGTTTTGTCAGCACATCCAAACCAAGTAAGATAAAAACGTTGTGCCTTACTTATCAGCTTTAATTAATCGCAAGTGCAACGATTGTTCTTGAGTTTTGATAACCGGGGAAAATACCGTGAATCAGTGTTGTATTAGTGCAAGGAAACTTACATTTTTTAAATCATCATCACCAATACCGTAGCTTACAAAGGTTTCCACTCATTTACGGCGCTTCAAGGACAGTTGTGTTAAATGCAAAGTAAAAAAATCACAACTGCAGTGGGTGATCGTGGATGTTGCTGCGATCTTGGAAGATCTTTCTGATTTCGCTGTGATCGTACCGTAACAGAGGTTTAACTTAACAGATGTAGCTAAACTCGCTTTTCCAATGTGTCACTTTTGGTTTCTACTTACTTACATTTCGACAACGATATCGGTACTTTTCCTACTTAGGAAATAAAACTACAAACGTACAAAACCCCAGATTTGTGCTTTTTTAGTCACATTTCCTCCGAATGTTTGCTAGATATATGTACTGATTATTGTTTAGAGATTACGTAATCTTTTAAATAAGAAACCTTTGTTTGGATAAAGGCGGTTTCTTCAAACTGTCATTAATATGTTAACAAAATAAGAAACCTTTGTTTGGATAAAGGTAGTTTCTTCAAACTGTCATTAGTATGTTAACATTAAAAGCTGCTTTGATTTTTGAAAACTTAAACAAAAATTTAAAACCAAAGGAGATTAATAACTTCGGTACTGCACCACATCGAGTGAAAGTTTTTTTAGCAAACCATAGTGAGTTTTCAAAGCTTTACGTTGTTAACGTTACATGTTACATGTTTTGTGGCCTGTGTATTTATTTATTTATATATTTGCCAACAGATTAACACCTATAATACAGTTTGATTAGAAGGACAGTTTGAATTAATCGTAAGTACTACAGTTCTTTTCTCAAATGTAAACGTTGGTAGCAGTAAGAATCATTTTTACATACAAACACATCACTATTTTCACTATTTATTTATAAACACTGCACCTTATTGCTTATTAAATTTAATTGATGTCTTACTGTATAATTTTTAGCGTTTTCTGTCCGGACTCCAAAACGTTGTGTGGACTCAATTCTGTATTTGTGTGTGTATGTCTATTGGTAACGCATTAATGTCCTTATTTTTCGTGGAAAAGACGAGAGCACCATTGTTAATAAAAATTTCAACCGGAATAAAGTGTGCAGGAGTGAGGTTGAGGTAGTGTTTTAACTACTTTTAACCAGTGTGAAAAGTAACTTTCAATTACAGGCCTAACTTAGGGCTATGCCTCATAGATCTATACTGTAAAGCAATTTGTTTCATCATTAGATATAAAATATGGACTAACACGATCGGGTGACATTTAATTGCGAAGCATTTGTTTTGGCTTTGAAACTGTCAGATATTGTATTTGAGAAGGTTTATATGTATTCCTAAACAATTATAGTTTTGCCATCATATCTGGAAAAATGCACACTAAATATGCAAACCAACTCCTGTTCTGAATATAAGGTTTTAACTTATACTACATTATTCCCGTACGTAAAACGGGCAAACAGCTAGTTATGCATATTACAGCTTGCAGTCAAATAGTTTTTAAGAAACAGATGATTTAAATTGTGAATATTAATGGTAAGGAAACACTAGTGCACATAGTGGGCAAATGGAAAACTGATTGAGAGCATGGGAAAGTAAATTATTTTTTCCCTTCAATCAGAGCTTGGGAAACAATATTTTTTATAACAGCTGACATTAAAAATAGTAACTTTCTGTACTGAGTTATGAAAACTGTTTTCTTTAATAGATTTCTTTATTAAATAGATTTAATGTTTTCTTTATAGAGTTACCAAATATTATGTACCGTCTAGAGGGGCCTAAAATTTAGATTAGACTTCACAAATATGACCAGGAATCTAACTATCTGATAACAACCGGTGGGGTATAACGTGTATTCACTTATACAATTAACAAGTACAACTTAGTAAAACGAAACTTGACTTTAATCATGTAAAAACTAACTGACAACAAAAAGTAAACAACCTTGTTATTTTTATGTAACATATGGTAATAAATAATGTGAACTCTATCCAGACCAAAAGCACGAACACTTCACCTTCTCGCCGAGATTGAACTACTGTCCTTGTCTTCAAGAAGGTTTTTATGCTTTAGTTGGTCAGCGTGTTTTTTAAAGATTCTTCTATCATTACCTTCAACTTTCCACACGTTTCACCCTAGTCTCTTCAAGATTACGCCGGGTTTCCACACAACATTTCCGTTTCTGGTTTCTGCCCAAAACACAGGTTCATTTATTTTGAAGTTTTTTAGGCTAGTAGTGGCTCCTTCTTTATTCTCTTCCTCTTTTGTTTTATCTTCTTTATTTTCTTCCTCTTCTGTTTTAATCTGACTTCCTTTTTGGGGTTGAACTAAATCTAAGATACATCTTAGATGACGTCCTAAAAACAACTCAGAAGGTGACATTCCAGAAGTTATGTGTGGTGTTAACCTGTACTTAAATAAAAAGTTGTTTAAGTCAGCTTCCAAACCTTTAGGGGATTGTTCTTGGCAAAGTTTTCTCAACGCCTGTTTCATGGTACCGACGTATTTTTCAACTTGTCCGTTGGAACACGGATGGTAAGGTGGAGTGGTTACGTGATCGATTCCAAATGCTTTACAAAACTGTGCAAATTCTACGGACGTAAAACAGGGTCCGTTGTCTGTCACTATGGTTTTAGGGATTCCATATCGGCATATTAACAGCTTAATTTGTTTGATTGTTACTGAAGTAGTCATAGAGTTCAACTTGATAATTTCTGGCCAACCGGAGTATGCATCTACGACCAAAAGAAAAACACTATTAAGGAAAGGTCCAGCGAAGTCCAAGTGTATACGGGTCCAAGGGTCAGTGCATCTCGGCCAATTACTGAGGAACTTTCTCTGTGGTTCTCTTGCAGCATACAAGTTGCATAGTGCACAAGTTCTTGCCACGTTTTCGATGTCACTGTCCATCGATGGCCACCAAAAACGATCTCGGGCCAACGCCTTCATCTTTACCATTCCTAAATGAGTGTCGTGCAGGTTCATAAGTAATTTCTGCTTGAACTTTTCTGGGATAATTGCTCTAACCCCCCACATTAGGCAGCCCTCATGTATGGATATCTCGTTCTTCCTTGACTCATAGGGTTTTAACTCCAGATTGTTTGTCTTGTATGGCCATCCACTTAATACAAACTCTTTGACCCGATTAAGAGTGACATCATTCGACGTTTCTTCACTGATTTCTTTAGCCGTAACTGGTAGACAATCTATGTTACCTGAGAATATTAATCCAACTACGGTGCTATAACTCTCATCGGCTTGGTCAAACTCGACATCTTCCTCGAAAGGCAAACGACTTAAACAGTCAACTTTCCCAAATAGTTTAGTAGAAACGTATTCTATGTCAAAACGAAAATTTGTTAAAAACAAAGCCCACCTTTGTATTCTGCAAGACGTGGTTACTGGCACTCCTTTGCTGGATCCGAATATAGACAATAGAGGTCTGTGGTCTGTTTGGATCAGAAAATGTGTGCCCCAAAGGTAGATGCGGAACTTTTTAATAGCATAAATCAAAGCTAAAGCTTCTCGTTCAATTTGCGAATAATTTTGCTCTGCCTTGTTCAGTGTTTTAGAAGCATACGCGATCGGCTTCTCTTCTCCGTTAGGATATCGATGAAAAATTGCGCAACCAATCCCCACTGATGAAGCATCGGCTGCAACCACTATAGGTAATTCACTATTAAATGGCACTAGAATAGGAGTGGAAACTAAAGCATCTTTAATACGGTTAATTGACTGAGAGCATTGTTCTGTCCATGTCCATTGAACATTTTTCTGCCTTAGTTTGTTTAATGGTGCACAGATCTCAGAAAAGTTTGGGATAAATACAGATAAATGCTGTAAACTAAGTAATTCCATCTAAAGGTCCTAATAAAATTGGTTTAGGCCTAGGTGATTAACAGAGTTAATTTAGAAAGTACGCATATTATTGTTTGGTTTTTTGATATTTTAGGTTAGGTCTACTTTTGATTTAATACAATCATATGTTTAATAAAATGTAAAATAAATACATTATTTTAAATAAAAAAGTTTTACATTTCTTGAACAACCGATTTATTACTATTTTAAAAGTTCCTAATCAAACCATGCATTAATTATTTATGATCAGTTTTCTTTTGTTTTTAAATAAACTGAATATTAGTATAATGCCTTTGGCCATTTTAAACTTTGAATTCAGTATTACTATTCATTCTTTGAAATTTTGAAGTGCTAGCGGAGAGGAGGGGTAGTGGTAGGGAGTAGGGGGGCGCGAAAAACGTCAGCCTACTGGCGACTAGACCCTTAATCAGGCCCTGGGTTCAGGCATATCTACTATGGGCTTTATCTTGTCTTGATTCGTCGAAATTCCATCTTTGGAAATACATAGACCCAAATAGTTGACTTTTTCCTTCATGAAGTGACACTTAGCTCTGTTTAAACAAAAACCATTGTCCTCAATGCGTTTCAAAACCTCTTTTAACGTGTTTAGATGTTCAGTGTCATTTATTCCTGTTATAATGACATCATCCAGTAGGAAAGCGACCCCATCTAATCCAGAAAGCATAGAATGCATCTTTTTTTTAAAAATTGCCGTAGCAGGAGCTACGCCAAAACACAGTCGATTGTATCGCATAAGACCAAAAATAGTATTAATGACAAGGAGTTTTTTAGATTCTGTGTCCATGGGAATAGAAAGGTATGCATCAGAGAGGTCAAGGGTAGTAAATTTCTGTCCAGAACCTATCTTGGTCAATAAATCGTCTTGAGTTGGTAATGGAAACTGCTGCACCTTTAATGCCTGGTTGAGTCCCGTTGAAAAATCTGCGCATATTCTAATAGCTCCATTCGGTTTTCTTACAATCACGCATGGCGCAGCCCATTCTGAATGGTCTATTTCTTCAAGGATACCATTTCTTTTTAACCGGTCAAGTTCTTCTTTAACCTTGTCCCTTAAAGCTAAAGGAACAGGCCTTGCCTTTTTAAACACTGGTGTAGCACCCTCTTTTAGGTACAAATGAGCAGTTGTCTTTGAACATTTATTTTCATTGGGTTGAAAGACGTCAGAAAACTCATCCACAAGTTTGGCAAGTTGTTGATCCGTATTTTCTACTTGTAAGGTTTGTTTATACGGTTCTGAACATATCCTTTGCAAATCGGAAAGTGATATTTTGTGGAGAAATAAAGGTGTAATCCAATCTCTTCCCAAAATATTTTGTTTGACACCCGAAGCGACAAAAGCTCTGAGTTTGGTTTTAACGTTTGCAAAAACAACTTCTACATCCATCTCACCAAGAAGTTTAACACAATGACCTGTAAATGAAGTAAAATTCTGTTTACTTAACAAAAGGTCGGGTTTTCCTATCTGTTTCCAAGTATGATCTGAGATAATTGAAGCGCAGCTACCTGTATCAAACTGCATCCTTACGATCTGGTTATTGAGTAAGATATTAAGAATAAGTATCGGGTAAAAGGTTGCCTGCTTTCCGATTGAAAGAACGTCCTGTATTCCTCCCAAAGAGTTCGTATCATTATAGCTAGTTACATCATTATCAACAACGTTACTACCGGATTCCTTTGACTTTGGACCATTCTCAACAATGTTGCTTTTAAGGTGTCGTTTCTCCACCTGTCCCGTTTTACATATTCTAGTTATGTGATTCCTACTCCCGCATTTGTAACATCTTGGATTTTTAATGTTACAATTCCTTTTCAGATGTTTACCACCACATATAAAGCATGGTCCTAGAGATAAAACATTACAATCTTCCCTCTGAGAAAAACTATTTAATGAAGCATCTTTTACTGAGAAAAGAGAATTAGCTACGTTAATGACTTCTGAGAACGTTTCATAATCCTTCTCCATGAGTTTGGATCTTATATTGTTATCACATATCCCCATTACAAAAGCGGTAACAAGTGCTTGTTGGAAAAATTGAATGGGAAATTGACAATCATTTACTTTATTCCTCAAAACATTGGCAAACTCCGTCAGACTCTCGCAGCCCTGACGCAGTGAAAAAAACTTGACTCTTTCTGCAATGGCGATTTTTTTAGTTTTAAAATTGTCCAACAATAGTTTAAAAAGTTCTTCATACTTAAAGTCATTTAAATCATTAGGTCTACAAAGGTTAACCAGTGTGCTTAACACATTTGTACCCAAAGCGTTTATGAATAGCAAGCGTTTGGTTTCATCATCGTTAATTCCATTGAGTTTAAGACCTGTAGTAAACTTAATGTGCCACACATCAATCTCTACTGTGTCCGGGTCGAACAAGTCACATTTAAAATTACAAATACTTTTTCATTACGAACTTGATCGGTACCTGGATCGTCTTGATGTCGTCTATGTCTACCTGATGTCGGCATTGTGTGAGTTCTAATTCCTCGTCGCCAATAACGTGTATTCACTTATACAATTAACAAGTACAACTTAGTAAAACGAAACTTGACTTTAATCATGTAAAAACTAACTGACAACAAAAAGTAAACAACCTTGTTATTTTTATGTAACATATGGTAATAAATAATGTGAACTCTATCCAGACCAAAAGCACGAACACTTCAGGGTATTTAACTATCTGCCGCCTCTAGGTAGGTTTCAGCACGACGTTGTGGTATCAGGCTTCCAGTCAGAAATGTTCACAGTCCATTGGACGTCGTTTAGTAAAAACTATATACAGTTCACAACACACAAACACAAACAAATACACATTTACCGATCGGTATTTACTAGGGGAGTGCGACATTTTGTCAAATCAACGGTCGCGACGAGTGACATCCAAGCCACAACTCAAGGTTACAGTGACATCGAAATTCTTTCTTTTGTTCCACACCTCCAGATCCCCTGGTAGCCCCCCCCCTTGACAAGGTCCTAGAAAAGCCCCTGAATCAAATTCATTCAACTTCTACCAAACCATCAGAGAGATTTTAGTTCATAAGATTGCAGGTTTTAAACATGTATTAAACACAATAGATTTAAACATACAATTCTACCTTACCTTCATCATAGAAGCGCCACGGGCCAAAGACGGTGGTTGCGGTGGGAAGGGAACATGAAAAGTCATCGGAGGCCTTGTCGGAAACTTCAACTTTGTCTTCTGAAATATTTTATCTTCTTCATCAATAAACTTAGAAATATCTTCCATTGATGATGGCATTTCTTGTTTAATTCTTTCATGTTGGGATTTTTTTTGGTAAATATCTTCGTGTTCAGATTCTTCAGTCACTGAACATTCACCCTTAAATCAAAGGAAGATCGAATTTTTAAGACAGATTTGTTTGTCATATAACATATTTTTTATTACCGTACTGGTATTCTACATAATATAATTATTATGGATAAATATATATATATATATATTTGTATCATCCAATATACTGTAGTTTTTTCTTAGCCCTTCATTTGTAGATAAATAACACTTATCTCTAAATCAATTAAAAAAGTTAAAAATTACTGTATCTTAAGATGGAAGATTGCATTTTAAATTGAATGCCATGAATGAATCCTAATTCTGGTATAGTTGTGGGTATGAATGAAATTTTTTAGTAAATCATAATCATAATAAAGATGCAAATATACACATTTTTAAAGTTCATTGCAAAATACATCTTAATAAATTGGACCAGGATACTAGTCATTTTACTAGATATTTTATTTTTTTTACTATAGTGGAATTAGAATATTGCATGGTGAACTTTTAGTAGCTACAAGCAGAAAAAAGAGTGTGTGACAAACAGGCATAAATATAGGCTACATGAGCCCTGGTTGCCTGGTTTGAGTATGTTTCGAGTGTGTGATCCTTTACTTTTGTAAAACATTTACGCAGATTTTCAGGTTTGAATTAGTTTACTGATTTAAACATAGGCCTATTGATGAAAGATAGCCCAAATAAAAACTACTGGTTTTTCATGATTCTAAGTCTAGATTTTAAACATTCCTAACTTCAATTACCTCTTCTAAAACATATTGAGAATCATCAATCTGTTCTTGGACAGCTTTTTTCCCTTTTGATGGAATCAGAGTTTCAATCAACACCTCTTCTTCATTGTCATATCCTTATTAAAACAAACAGAAGTTTATAAAGACAACTCAGTTATTTGACATTAATTTACTTAAAAAAAGTACAAGTACCCTATAGGTCTAAATGTATTTGTTGACTTACATTAATTCAAACTTATCTTTAAACAAATTGAGCTGCCTTACGTAGTTATTGAGATGTTAGTTAAGAGTCTTCTTCACCCCTGTGAAAACAATAAAAACATGCCTTGGACGTCCCTCACTCCGGATGGAGTGTGTAAAGATAAGATATAATGTTAAAACTTTTTTCCCTTACAGATTAATGTTGATTCTAGGGCCATCATACATGATATATCCAAGAAAATCAATATTATAAGTACAAAAAGTGTTAAAGTAGGTAACGTAAATTGAGTCACTTTTAAACACTTATAAAACTAATAATTTTTTTTCATTTTCAACCTTTTGAGGTATAAGAGCCCTAATATAATTAACTATTCAACTACATTGATACTAAATTTCAAAAAATCAACCAGGTTCCCACATAGGTAACACTTTTTTTTAGGATGAAACTAAATTTCAGTGTTGGAGAAAGAGTAGAGTTGAGTTAACCCAAGGATTAAACTATAATAACAGGTTAACCGAATTTGGAGAACACAGGCATTAATTGGATATTGTTAATCAAGGGTTAACTTGTGGTGATGCAATTAGAAACTATAGTTCGGCCGCTTAGAAAGCGACCTCCTCCAGCATTGGTTTAGCATTAGCGCGCAGGTCGTTTTCTAAGTGGCCGAACTATAGCATTAATTAAATTATACTAGAGGTCGTCCAGTGGTCGAAAACTCGGGCAAAAATATGTAATGTGCAGATTTCTCTATTTTCACCCCAAGCTGTAAATAAAACACATGTGATTGGAATTTCTTCCATTTGTTTTGATTTTCTGTTTATATTAAATTTCTTTATTATATTTATATTGATTTTCGTTTTTTCGTCACCAGCATAGCAACCCATGTTAATTTTGTAATATTTTTAAATCATTTTTGAGCTTATTTGAGCCTATTTTAATACATATATGAAGGGATTCTGCACATCTACAAGAAAATATCTTTCCAACAGTATGCATAGATTTTCCATGTGATGCACACGAGCTGAGAAAAAAGGTTTTAAAGAAACATGCTTGCATATTTACAGATGATTAATTAAATGATTTAGGGAGGTGAAATATTTAGCATGATGTTGCATGAAATAAAGATTTATGAATTGAATTGAATACTTAACAAACTAGTTAACTTTATTATATTGAAAATAACCTTCTCCCATTATCAATGCTTTCTTCGAGGTAACTTACTCAGATTTTTACAATGACTAAAGTAACAAAACTTACCAACATATCTGACAACGCACCAGTGGTTGTCTACAATTTTGACAACCACTGCTTCATACTGTTGCCCATCTGTAGAGTAAACTGCTCGACAAGAACTTCCTACTGCCCACTAAAAATAATTACAATCCTTTTACAAAAAAATTATCCTGTTAACAATAATGCTGACAAACATCATACCTGTGATATTTATGTTAATCATTATAATAAGTCACTACCTACCCAACAGAACACAATTTTCTAACAGGTTGAGAGGTTACACAGTTCTATAACCAATAGGCCTAGTCAATTGTTCTGCCCAAGATTGAAAAAATCTCACATTTTATTTACTACCACCATTGATTATATAGATTTTAATTTAGCATTTAAATAATTTAGTATACAAATCTGTTGTATCACCAACCAAATATTTTGCCTATTAAAACCCTCGCTATTCCCATGGACCGATTATGCTGGTTCGCAAACTTGTTCAAATAAACGTAGGTTTACACGTTTGTACACTACCAAATTTCCACAAAATCGGATAATTTTTGCTTGTGTTATCGTGCTAACGGTGGGCTCTGGGGACCTCAAAACAAAAAGTTAAATCGGTCCCGGGTCTAGGTCTTACCACGAGACCTACGGTAATAGCTTATTCCATATACTATGGGAAATAAACTCTTTTTTTTAAGAAATTGGCGACCTCTTTTAACTTTGCATTTGCCAGTCTTCATAGACTACAGATCTGTGCGTGGAACGTATCCAGCAAAGCAAGGGGTGAAGAGGTACAGTACGAAGGTAAGCTGTACTAATAAAATGTTTGCGGCAGTGACCAGGATCCAAACCCACGACATCGCTGCCTTGGGCCCGAAGACCGTGACGCTACCAATTGAGCCACCCACTCACCTACTATAGTATAGTAGAATGATAATAGGTAGGGCCTATAAAAATACTAATAAAACTTATAGCTCTAATGATAGTGACTGAACAGCTTGCATTGAACTGAAATAGAATACACTTATGTAATCACCTTCTTTCTATTATTTTTCTTCTTAGTTTCTAAATCACTTAGGAATTCTTCAACATCTTCAATTTTTAATCCTAATTCTTTCTGAATCTTCCTCGTTATCTAAAACAAACACTCTTTTTAATCAAAATCTCAACCAAGTGTTAGGTTAGAGTAAAATTTTTAATACATAATGCAATTTAAATTAAGTGCACAATTACTTTTAAAATAAAAATTTAATCTGAAATAAGGTAAGTTAAACAATAATTTCTTGCTATTTGGACAATTGAATTATCATCTGATCCATTAGTATAACTGAACCTTAACATTAAATAAAGACCCCCACCGCGTCAAACCTGCAGACTAAGCAAATTTCCATTTCACTAAATTACCTATTTCATAAAAATTTTTGGATTTTTTATTTAAATACCTAAGTAATATTTTTATTTTAATGGGTACTTAGGTTTGCTGCTACAGTGAAGATAATAAGGTGTGTTTTTATTGAAATATTGATAACTAAGTATGAAATAAACAAATTTGCCAAATTTCATTGAAATATGTCCAGAAACAAGCAAACTACAACATATATATATAATTCCGTAAGCGAATTGGTCCCCACGAAATCCGTAAGCGAATCGGTCCCCACGAAATATGTTGAGTTAGGTAAAAAGTAGCATGTCTGTTGAGGATTCATTTTAATGCTTAAGATCCAAGGACGGTGGGAAAAATATCAGAAGTGTCAAAAATTAACCCTGCTCTACCCCACAGGCCGTCAAAAATCCGGTCATTTTCTAATGGAAGTACACAGTGTTCTATAAGCTGCTTTAAACAGCTGATGTAAACATTGTGTATTTGTATGTTTATTGATTTTAGTGTTCTGTTTTTAGGCTAGAATGGTAATTCAGTGTTGAAATGTATCGTGTTGGGGGAAGAACGTGACTAAATGTGTAAAGAAAATTGCATTTCTTAATTTCCTTTTAAACTTGTATAAGTTACTTAACTATAAAGCAGCAATTGCTGCTATGGTCCCCTAGTTTTATTTAATTATTCTACATAAGAATAAAATGAGATTTCTAAAATAACGCTTTTTTGAATTTTCCTGTAACTGTTAAGCATACAACACATATTTTAAATATACTAAATTATTTATTTTTTTAATGTTTTTACAGTGAAAATGGAAAAACCAATTTTTACCCCCTAAAACCTCTATTCCCATAGTCCAATCATGCTGGTTTACTAACTCTTTTGAATAAATATAAGTTGGTTTACACGTTTATACCAAATTTCATCAAAATCGGATCCATCACTTTTGCTTGAGTTATCGTGCTAACGGGCACATATGAATTTGAACGGATGGTATTTTTGACCTCTAGGGACTTCAAATTGAAAACGTAAATCGGTCCCAAGTCCAGGCCTTGCCATGAGACCTACGTTAATAGCTTATTCCCTATAAAGAAAATTCGCTAAAATGTAAATGGTACACGATTTTACAAAATTAACTTGGGCCTTCAGATAGGAACATGCTTATTTTAAGTTTTATGTTATACAATGTCAAAATAGAATATACAGTAGATAGCCTAAGCCCATCTTGTAAACAAGGTTGGAGCAAAAACTAGAGAATGTAAGTTACCTTTCTCTTGACTGCGGAGATTGCCTTGTCATATGCTGTAAGGATTTCAGAATCATCCCATTCCTCATCATCTTCATCATCATCCTAAAAGCACAAAAAAACACTGACATAAAAAAATGATTAGTACTAATGACTACTGTAAAACACCTTGGCCTAAAAACTATTAAGTTATTCATAACTTAGTTTATTATGTAGCCTAATTGAGCGGAGCGAAGCAAAGCTCTTTGGGATCAACTTCAATACAATCATTACTTATAACACTTAATCTCAATAATGGCTGAACATATTTTTGCCAAACTTACGAAGGTTGTTTTCTCAAATGTTTAGGGCTAAGTTTAGATGGTTTAGACGTAGGTAACCAATTTCAATTTTGGATAATGCCTACGTAATTTTACAGTAACTCAAAGTTTTTACATTTTAACATTGGTCTTATGGGTTGCTATGATGGTTACAAAATAACAACGTAAATGTTTTAAACAAATCAAAGAATCGTAGTATATGTTCAAATCAAGCCACACCCTAAACACAGTACAAAGGAAGAAATTGGATGATGACAACTGATCAAAAAATACAGAGAAAGTCTTAGGTTTACATTTAAGTCGCAATTTGGAAACGACCACTGATTGAATAGGTAGGCCTACAGAAATAAACTCGAAACTTAACTAAAATGTTCAGCAACACATTTTCAAAAACCTATCATGTGACCCCTCATCTTAAAGGGTTTATCAAGAGAATTGAATGACACAAACCAGAGGTCAATATCGCACCCCTAATCAAAATGGCAGCCATTTTAATTTCAGTTGAGCAAGCAAGATAAGAGTCTGGACACCCCCAGTTAACTTTAAAACAAGTGACAGTAGGAAAACCAAACTCTGCACATGTTTACAACATAAAAAATGCACTTTTTTGTTTAAGTTATAACTTTAACCTGGCCCCCAAAATGGGGTATTTTGGGGGCAGCCCCAATTTTTCAAATGTAAACACCTATTGTGAGACCCCTATTTTTAAAGAGTTTCTCAAGACAAATTAAATGGCGCAAACTAGAGGTCAATATCGCACCCCTATCATGTGCACCCCTGGAAACGACCACCCAATATTGCATACCCTAATCAAAAAGGTAGTCATTTTGAAATACAGTAGAGTCCCGCAAACTCGGCACTCGATAACACGGCAGTCTGGATAACTAGGCCATCACTTGGCTCAGAAAATTAGTGATTTTTTGAGTCCGAGTTAAACATGGGCTCAAGTCAAATCATTCGCAACTCATACCAAGGATTTGTTGTACTATATCTGATGACTTAATACTGACTTGTAATATAAATATAAATAAATAAGGCAGCTAAAAGGAATAAAAATTGTATTGTTCTTATTTTTAACCCTAGTTCCCGATAACCCGGCATTTCACAAACTCGGCACCCTTCCAGTCCACATTACGCCGAGTTTGCAGGACTCTACTGTATCCCCTATTAACTTTTTAACAGGTTATAGCAGGAAAACTAAACTCAGCATATTTTAGGGCCTACCTTTATAAAAAAAGAGAATTCACCTTTTGGTCAGTAGGCCTATTAAATTATTAAATTGTTTGGGCGGGGCCAGACTTTATCTTGCTTGCTCATCTTAAATGATTAAAATGGCTGCAATTTTGATTAGGGGTGCGATATCGACCTCTGTTTTGCGCAATTCAATTCCTCCCTCTTGATTAACCCTTTAAAATGAGGGGTCACATGATAGGTGTTTACATTTGAAAATTTGGTGCTGCCCCAAAATATCCCATTTTGGGGGCTGGGTCAAAGTTGTAATAACTTTGATGAAAAAGTGCAATTTCTTATGTAGTAAATATGTGCCGAGTTTGGTTTTCCTACTGTAACGCGTTAAAAAGTTAACCAGACTTTTGCTTAACCCTGTATAGATAAATAAGGGCTAGGCCAAGTCTAATTTTCTTATTAGTAAGCCTAGGCCTATACCAATGCAAGACTTATAATTACCTGCTTTCTCACGTAAATCATAGGTTTCTCATTTCCTGACATGATGAAATGTTAACTCTTAACTTTTCAAGATATTCTGTTTGTATTCTAATTTTTATTAATGATAGAACTCACGATTTTGGGTTGCAAATTTGCAATGCAAATCAAGCCGGTTTATTTGATTTAACTTAACCTAAAACAAAATAACCTCTCGCTCTCACTCAACTATGATGTGTATGTGCAGTGTTGCCACACAGCTCCGGACCGGAAGAAATCCGTCCTCACTAGCATAAAAATCCTGCTTTTTCCTCTCTAATCCGCGCACAATACGTTAAAAATACGTACACAATCCGCGCACACTGTAAATTAACCTGCGTCTAATAATATAGTACAGTACTAGAATACAAGTTTTACATTAATTTTTCCTACAGTTACCATAAAACAAATAAATTGGTGAAGAAACATAACCTATTTTTACACAGAAGTGAACTTTTAATATAAAATTTAATGTGAAGTGACAAATACAACAGTACAACAACAGCTGGCCAGCTGATTTACAGCCAGTACTGCCAACGTATTTCGCGCGCATACGACGTTGCCTGCATGTTACGCGCTCACTATTTCGGGCCTTCACGTTGCAAATCCGGAGTGAGACAAAGTAATTAGAGTGAGACAATGTTACTGATGAGCGAATTTGCCACTTTGCTTTCTCAGATCAGTGAGAGAACATGTACATTGTTAGGTAACTGTAGAAAATAGTTATTTGTGCAACTAGTGAGAAAAGTGAGCAATTGACTCACTCGAGAGAAATCCTTACTCACGAGCCGTAGGCGAGTGAGGAATGGTTTCTCGAGTGAGGCAATTGTACTTTGAACTCGAGTTGCACATTATACTTTTCCTACAGTTACCATAAAACAAATAAATTGGTGAAGAAACATAACCTATTTTTACACAGAAGTGAACTTTTAATATAAAATTTAATGTGAAGTGACAAATACAACAGTACAACAGCTGGCCAGCTGATTTACAGCCAGTACTGCCAACGTATTTCGCGCGCATACGACGTTGCCTGCATGTTACGCGCTCACTATTTCGGGCCTTCACGTTGCAAATCCGGAGTGAGACAAAGTAATTAGAGTGAGACAATGTTAACATTGTCTCACTGATGAGCGAATTTGCCACTTTGCTTTCTCAGATCAGTGAGAGAACATGTACATTGTTAGGTAACTGTAGAAAATAGTTATTTGTGCAACTAGTGAGAAAAGTGAGCAATTGACTCACTCGAGAGAAATCCTTACTCACGAGCCGTAGGCGAGTGAGGAATGGTTTCTCGAGTGAGGCAATTGTACTTTGAACTCGAGTTGCACATTATACTTTTCCTACAGTTACCATAAAACAAATAAATTGGTGAAGAAACATAACCTATTTTTACACAGAAGTGAACTTTTAATATAACATTGAATGTGAAGTGACAAATACAACAGTACAACAGCTGACCAGCTGATTTACAGCCAGTGTTGCCAACGTATTTCGCGTGCATACGACGTTGCCTGCATGTTACGCGCTCACTATTCCGTGCCTTCACGTTGCAAATCTGGAGTGAGACAAAGTAATTAGAGTGAGACAATGTTAACATTGTCTCACTGATGAGCGAATTGGCCACTTTGCTTTCTCAAATCAGTGAGAGAACATGTACATTGTTAGGTAACTGTAGGAAAAGTATAATGTGCAACTCGAGTTCAAAGTGCAATTGCCTCACTCGAGAAACCATTCCGAGTGAGGATTTCTCTCGAGTGAGTCAATTGCTCACTTTTCTCACTAGTTGCACAAATAACTATTCCTCACCTATAACGAAATGTAAACTCAAAATATGTTACAGGAGGTTTACACTTACCGTATATGTGCTTTCAATATTGATTGAATGGATCCAAAAAAATAAGTTTAGTTTAATTGAATATGTAATTTATTAAATTTTCATATTAATGCAATAGCATTATATTTTAATTTTTTTCACTGAATACTTTTTTGTATCTGTTCAATCCATATTGAAAGCACACATACGGTAAGTGTAAAACATCCTGTAACATATTTTGAGTATTACATTTCGTTATAGGTGAACAAATTATTGGAAAACTTGTTTTCTAGCACTATATTATTAAGCCCCCCATACACGGGCGAGCATGTTCGCGAGCAAGTTGGTGAACATGCTCGCGAACATGCTCGGCGTTGCCAACAGACGGACGAGCATGCTCGCGAACATGCTTGTCGTTTTCAAGAGACGGACGAGCATGCTCGCGAACATGTTCGCGAACATGCTCGTCGCTCGGTAGCGGTTCCTAGGCCTATTCTTGCTTCTCTTGTGCTCTGTGACAGTCAAGTTGTGTGTATTTAGCATACTCCTGCTTTTTTGCTGCAATTACAGCATTTAGTATTTTTTCAACATACGCATTATTTCTTTGACATAAATCAGGGGCGATTTATTTTTGGCCGATTTTGTAATCATAGCCGATCTAAAAATCGACCGTGTGTGCCAGGCCTTAGGTTATCGGATTAAATTCATCCGCTATGGTTTGAAAATTATGTTGGTTAAAATTCCATCTTTGTGCAATAACATTTCTCGTAGTTCTACTTATTCCAGCCTTTCTTAGAATTTTTAATTGTGACAAATTACTACAGAATTGATTGTACACATTTCTGTAATACTGTAATAATACAAATTGTAATTGAATAACCCTCTATTTTGGAAACTCATTTAAATTTCTATTTATTGCGTTACAATCCCAAATAAATATTTATTTAGCTTCTGTAAACATTGATTCTAAATCTATTACTGTAACTGGAATACATCAGAGTCATGGTGGAAGGAAAAAACATAGGTGTGCTATTCCCACATATTCTGACGTCACTCGGATTGCAAACAAAAGATCATCTGATTGTAACTGTCAAATTTAGTATGTATTTGTTTTTATTTGATTGTTATTGTTTTCATAATAATAAAAACAATAACAGCCAAATCAAAACAAATACATATACTGATTTGACAGTTATAATCAGATGATCTTTTGTTTGCAATCCGAGTGACGTCAGAATATGTGGGAATAGCACACCTATGTTTTTTCCTTCCACCATGCATCAGAGTATCAACACCATGATGATTACAAGTGCAACCTGTCTATTGCGGCTACTTTGTAATGGCGGTAACGAAGTAATCGTTTGGAATCGGAACGGTTACTTGTACTGAGTCCACGAGTGTAACTTGAATTATAGTAGCGGCTACATCGATGGAATCATTTAGCCTATCTCTACCCAAGTTGCAGCGACGAACATGCTCTCGAATATATTGGTCGTCCCCACAGACGGGCGAGAATGTTCGTGAGCATGTTCGTTTTCGGGCTCGTCAAGTCCGACGAGCCGAGCGCCGAGCCAAACATGCTCGCCGCGACGGATCCCACACACGGGCGAGCATGTTCGTCGCCAACACCGTCACGAGCATGCTCGCGAACATGATCGCCCCGGATCGCCCGTGTATGGGGGGCTTTAGACTCAGGTTAATTTACAGAGTGCGCGGATTGTGCACGTATTTTAAACGTATTGTGCGCGGATTAGAGAGGAAAAAGCGGGATTTTTATGCTTGTGAGGACGGATTTCTTCCGGAGCTGTGTGGCAACACTGGTCGGTCATAGAGAGATGAGATAGGGTATACACATACAGACGACGACAGACAGACTTAAAAGTCAACAAAGTCACTTACAAATAATTAATTATTCAATACAAACATGTATTCTAAGATAGCTAGATACAAGTTATTAGTATAAATGGCAATTTAAAATTAGAATGTAGAATGAAACTTTACAGTTGACAGGCAGTACATTTAGTTTGTTCTTGTTGTGATAGGCCTGGTTTTGGAAGGATAGACCTAGGGTTTATTATTTGTAACATTCAACATTAGCTTAATATATTCTTTGAACATGTCATATAGGCTAAGTTATTGTTAAAAAAATAGCCTTCTTTAATGTGAATTTTACCCAAGAATCTTGTGACACACTCACACACTAAGATACACTAAACCTTTAATAGCCCTTCATTGTTAGTTGTTGTTGTTACTGGTGATTATTACTCCTAGGCCGACAAGTTACTCCAAAGGTAAGTAGCCTAATCAATTTTTCCATTATCTTATTAGTCAAGCATGTTTATTCTTTCTCAGCTTGTCTGCATCCCAGGTTCGGGTACAGTTTCTTAACTGGGCTATGCTAATATTGATTGAAACTATCGAATTGAAAATATTGATTAATAATCGATATTTTTAAATATATCTATTTTAAAATAAAACTATCATAACCTAACCTAACCAACCAAACTTGCTGATGGTGAAAAAATCGCATGAAGGTTTACTAATCGAATCGATAGTTTCAATCAATATTAGCATAGCCCAGTTAAGAAACTGTAGCCGAAATGCTACTGTTAGAAATATATTTGCCTGTAGATGTGCAGAACCCCTTTAAGTTATAAGTTAGGTCTAAATTAAAATAGAGTCATAAGTTAAATAGCAACACAAAATGAATTAACACTTATATCAAACCCCGGTCTGACAGGCCCACGGGAGTTTTCAAAAACACATGTTGGTAAAATTGTTTACTTAAAATTTATTACATTCATATCATCTGTATGACTCAGCGAGCACATAATAATAATAATGTGTTCGCTGGTATGACTATTACAAATAAATAGAAAAGGCAGGCATTTTCAACCACTGAGCTGAAGCAACAATAATTCATTATTAACTTATTGGTCTTAGAAAGTGAAAAGTGCAACTTAATCAGGTGATTTTCATATTGCAGAATCAGAGTTAGGCCTAGCTAATTAAAGTTGTCACTTCCATTTGCTTGACTATGATTGAAAACAATCAGCTGGTTGGTTTACTTAACCCATAGTTCATTCCACTTGTAAATGTCATCCATCCTACCCACCTTGTTTATTGTAATGTTGTATATTATTACGGCGATATCTTGAGAAATATTCATCAGCTGTGAAAAATAATGGTATATTTGGATTCAGGAGGTAAAAAACTATAAAGTAAGATATCAAAATTATAAATTCGTTTGGAGGCACGTAAGTTATACGGAATAATTACCACTTGCGGGATTCCATTCCCCCAATATAACTTACCTTCCCACCTTTTCCTCCCCTACCTGTTAATAGGTATTTTTTGTTCATTTTGGTGGGTGCCGTGACCTTGACAGGTTGTCTGTTCATAACATGCCCGTCTAAGAAGCCCAGCGTTAACATATTTTAAAGCGGAGTCTCACAGGACCAGGGTTTCGGTTTGTGTGTTTCTAAGCAGGGTTCATTAACTTATTTTCAAATTAGGCCTAGTGTTTAAAGGGGCTTATACTATTTCTGACGCCCAACTCACCTAAAATGTTCTACCACTTAAAAGACTTTTTTTAACTGTTCCTAGACACCAACACTAGGCCTACAACTTTCTCAAATGACTTTTGTCACCAAGGCTTCCTGTAACTTAGACACCACGCTAGTCGAGGCGTGAAGACTAGACACTACGCCTGAAAAACTCACTTACACGCACCGTGATAGGGCAGATTTCTTTACTAGACACCTTGTCAAGATTACTAGACACCATTACCTAAATTACTAGACACCACACCCAGATTATGGTTAGGCTAGGCTACGCGAGGTGTCTTAGTACCTAATCTAGGTGTGGTGTCTAGTAATGGCACTGCTTTAACACAATTTTAAGCAAGTTTTCCCTCAGACATCTCTGCTACAGCCCCTAAAACTTGCGTTAATGTGATGGCATTGATTAATTTATACTAGGCACCTCCTACGTCACCTCACCTAGATTACTAGACACCATTACCTAGATTACTAAACACCACACCCAGATTACGGTTAGGTTAGGTTAGGTTTGGCTATGCGAGGTGTCTAGTAATCTAGATGTGGCGTCAAGAAAAGGAACTGACCTGTCACTTATGTTTAACCCTCCGAGGGTCACGCGTCAAAAAATAGACGCACAACACACTTTGTGTAGGGTCACGCGTCTAGTTTAAGACGCACAAACATCGTTTACGGCGAAGGCTCTATGACTGACTGAATCGGATTGAACTGGATCGAGTTAGGTATCGTTCTTTTCATTAGATTCTAAGCTTTCTAAAGGTCTGTCTCTAAGCGCTGTTTGTTCTCTGAGCCGATCGTAATTGTTAGCAGACAGCTGACGTGCATATTAGTAAACAGGTTACTTAACCTCGGACCGATGACTGATGTGTTTTATTATGTTTATCATTGTTTTAGTGTTAAAAATCAAAAGTAGTGATATACGTGGTGCATTATAAGAAGATTTAAGTGGTTTTGAAGTGCTGGTTGATGATCCTGAAGATGTAGGTAGTGATATTGATGTAAATTATCAGCCAGATTCCTAGCTATGGTTAGGCTATGCATTCTTAGCTAAACGCTATGGGGACCGCGTCTCGTTGTCCCTCCGTCTAGTTGTACCTACGTCTACTTGTACCTCGAGGCCTAGGGACAACTAGTCGTAGGTACAACTAGACGTAGGTACAAGTAGACGGTGGCACACCCGACTAGTTGTACCTGCAGATTTTTAGGAGGTACAACTAGACGTAGGTACAAGTAGACGTAGGTACAACTAGACGTGTAACCCACCGACAAGTAGTATCACCTAGCTTGTACGGATGCGACCAGTTGTCCCTACGACTAGTAGTCCCTACGAATAGTGGTCCCTCCGTCTAGTAGTCCCTACGTCTAGTTGTACCTACGACTAGTTGTACCTAAGCGTATTTTGTGTCCTTATAGTCTAGTTGTATCTGTCCATCAATTCGTTACCATGTTTAATTGATTACTGCACGAGTAGTTTTTAATAATACCCTAAAATTAAATCCGGAACTGCAGTGTTCCGAGTCAATTGAGTATGATTGGCAAATATTTTTCACCGCACTACGATGTTTTAGTAGTTTTACAGACGTTATTGGAGGCTGAAAGCTACGCATTGCTGTCCAGGGTCGAAATGGCAGCTATAGTTGTAATTAAAATTTTCCAGCCCTAGTACAGAAAATCGCTTATTTAATTAAAACATTTATATATATCATTAAATATACAAGCAGTATATCCTTAATGAATTGCAATAGACCGCTGTCTAGCAATTATGTATTACTATTTTTGCTGATTCCTTTAAATACTTTTTCACATAACCTTAAAGTATTTGCATTGATTAGTGTGCATTTCTTTTAGTTATAAGAAATCTTCTTATAGTTATAGTTTCTTATAGTTATAGTTTTTAATGGATTTCCCATTGAACAATGAAGAATGAAGTGTACAATGAAGTTGAGGTTCAGCGGTTGAAAACTCGACAAAAACTATGCAATGTACAGACTTCTCTATTTAACATACACTGTAAATAATACATGTGATTGGAATAATTTCCATTTGTTTTGATTTTAGTTTCATAATTAGTTGTTATTTTGTCACCAGCATAGCAACCCGTTAAACCCATGTTAGTTTTTAAAAATTTGTAATTCTTGTTTATGTCTTTTTAGCCTATTTTAATTTATAAAGGCATTCTGTAGATCGACAGGAAAATACATTTCCACCGATATGGGGATATTTTCTATGTTCACGAGCTGATAAAAAGGTTGTAAAGAAACATGCTTGCCTATATTATTGATATATTTTCTCAGTTTTGTATAGTTTGGTGAAAAATAGCAATCGGGCCGATTTCATCTTCGTCTGAACTTAAAAATGATCCCGAGCTGACAAAAAGCCATTTTCGGCCCTAGGTACGGAATATACTCTCAAATTATCATAGGATCGGTGAATACTAAACTCTATCTTGGAATTGCATACACTCGCTCCTATCTTTAAGTTTACGTTGTTGTCCTCCTATCTTAGAAGTTTTGTTGTAAGTACCTATATCATGTATAAAAAAATGTAAGTGTATTCTGTAAAACTTTAAACAAATATTAGTAAAATAGTTTTCCGGCAAACTATCGTTGAATGAATTAGTTTTAAGTAGTTAAATTAACCTCGACCCGTGCTATAAGTGGAGTTTGTCCGGCAAAATACCATAGTAAAATTAAATCAAATAAATAAAATCAAAAACAATTCATAACAAAAGAATAATAGATACAGAATTAACGTAATTTCTGAAAATCGACAGGGCCCACATATGCGAAGCCTGTGCGTGGGGACCGAGTTGACTCAATAATTGGCAATTTGTCATAGTCTTGTAACACAATTAACTACCACTATTATAATTATCAATACTGGCATTTCAATGGTATTTCAATACTGAGCTTTATTTACGTTTGCGTAGAAGGTAATTAAGATGTGTTTTTGAGAAAAGTTAGGTAGTAGTTAAGTGTGAAATAAACTAATTTGTCAAAGTATATGCATCAACAACCAAACTACGCCAGTTTACGTAATGTCCATAAGAATAACATATACATTTTTAATTTGAACTTGTTGTAATATTCTCCGTGACCATACAAAAATACTTCATTATACTCAATTACTTGTTTGTGTAAACCCTGAATTTATTTATTTAAAATAATTGTTTTACGTTGTTGTTAAAGGTAAGTTTTCTACAAAAAGGTAGAGTTTAAGTGGAAAAAACAATGATAGCAGATCTTGACAAGAAATAAGGAAAACCAAAGTGTAATAATTATGGATAAGGACTGATCAAGGGACACAACTACATTGTTATCAAGAACAGGGGTTTCTCAATGAGCTGCAGACAAGCCAAATTTTCCTGGCTTTTGTAGCAAGTTGTTTATAAAAAATTGTTGTAAGATTGTATGATTTTTAAAGAAATAAAATAAATCCCTTAAACTGGTGATAAGTTGAAGGGGAGATACAACTAGCCGTAGGTACAACTAGACGTAGGTACAAGTAGGCGTAGGTACAACTAGTCGTAGGTACAAGTAGTCGTAGGTACAAGTAGTCGTAGGTACAAGTAGTCGTAGGTACAAGTAGTCGTAGGTACAAGTAGACGCAGACGTATGAGGTACAAGTAGACGGTGACGTACCCGACTAGTTATACCTATAGATTTTTAAGAGGTACAACTAGACGCAGAGACAGATAGACGTAGGTACAACTAGACGTCCGCACCATCGTC